ATACCGCTTCTCATTTTATGAATTTTGAAGGAAATTATGGACTTTTGAAGATTGCAAAGTCGCGTTTCAGGAAAATGGCTTGAAAAAATCAAAGAGGAAAAAATGTCCACGGTCCACCACTTCTCCATGTTGGTGACTGCCCATGCATCAATGATGAGCATTAAATTATGTGAAAGACATAATAGTTAATACGGGGGGTCGTACCGATACCCTCCGAAAAGGAAGGGGGTCGTAAAAACTTTGGAATTTATGCAACGCAGGGTCTGGCGGAAAGGGTCGCCATAGATCAATTATGCCATGTTACGTGGCTTTGTTATATGTCTAGCTTACCCGATTTTTCTTCTTCATTAGCTGCCGCTTTTCGTCACGGACGTGTTGAGCTTTTTCTTCACGAAGCCTCATTTCCTCGTCCTGTGACAGACCGTCACCCTGAAGTGCTCAATTCCGGAATCAAAAGAGAACGCACAAGAAGTTTCAAAACTTACGACTCCGATTTTGCGGTTGACCACATAGCTCCTTATACGCTTGTTTACTCCGGTCGGACGTGAGTACTTGAGAAAGTGCATCAGCCTCTCTTTAGGTGAGAGCGATAGCTCTAACATCAGGATCACCTGGGCCCACTAGAACAAGGCTGATGAAATCCCTTCAATGTATGCCCCATAAGCGCGAGAGAGGTCCTGTTTACCTGTCGATTCCATTCCTTCTTTGTCTCGAAAATCGTCTCATATGTACGTGTCATCATAGCGATCAGCAGGTTAAACTGCAGGATAGAGACGAAGATTTCAAAGATGAGAAAGATAATCTGAAGAAAAGAAACATAGCAACAAGAAGGACAGGAAATTTATGTGTTGCTAGTTGACGGCCTTTGCCACATCCCTGGGGTATTCGATGTTACATCTTGAGCCCGATTCTTGAGGAAATGATTCCGTTTCCGGGTGAGGGCAGGGGGATACAGACACGGCTCGTTGTGCTTTTCCAGCCGTTTCCGGTCTTGTTTCAAATCCTGGATCTATCGGTCGCTTTACAACCCATATATAGGCGTTATCAAAGGCGCATTAGAACATCGGTTTGGTAGGCAATTATTAAATTATAAATTATAATTATTGTTAGTTGTTTTTGGATCTTAGGTTAGTATCATGTATGTTTCCAGAAAAGAACTTTATTTATGGGATGGGATTCAAATAGTAGTTTAGCCTCCGTTTCGCAAATGCCCTCAGACGGAGACTAAACGAAAGAGTATCTTCTCTCCGTGCTTATCAAACCAGTGGAAGCCAAAGTCTCGCTGAGGGTGGGGCTGGGATTTCTTAAGAAAAGTAAAGGAGATCAGGGACTGGCGTAGACGGAAGCCTCCAAAGCTTTTCAAGACCGTTTAAGAGAATTTTAGGGAGCTTACGTGGGGGTTTTTTCAGGGCAAGCCGCGCTTTTTCAAAACGGTTTCTTGCATATTGTAGGGACGCATGTAGGGAACACAAAACCATGTTTCATTTTCGCTGAACGGTTATAGCAGTACCAAAAAAGAAGCATAAGGTACTGTTAAGGTTCGATCCCCGTGGCGACTAAATTTTGCATTTGGGTTGGCGCCTACGGTTGGTGCCAAATCGCGCTGTCAAAATCAGATGTCATATTCATCGTCAGGACCATTTTGAGGCCATCAAGTAGCTGCCAACCTCGAATGTAGAATTTAGTCGCCACGGGGATCGAACCACTAAGAGTATCATTCAGTTGCCTTGATAGACCCCCCTTGTTAGTGCTACGCTACTGTTCGGAATCTTTTGCAGAACAAGAACGAGGAAAAAGTAGTTGGCTTCAAAGAATGTAGCCAAAATATGAGATGCGCTCGATTTTCACAGAATCACAAAGGATGCATTCATATTCGTAGGTTTGCACCCTCTATTCAGGAGAATGCTAAACCAACCTTGCCGATAAAGTTCATAAGCACAGAATCGCATGAGGCCATTTCCTTATAAATGGTCATAAATTCGCCAATTGTCATGATAAATGTTCTTAGAAGAGCTTCCAAGGGATTCTGAAAAATGACTCTCATGATTGTGGTTCAACCACCGAGGTGTGTTACGAAACAATGAAAGGAGCGAATGCAGTTGCTCACATCAATGACGTTCTGGAACTCGCTGTCTCCGCCTTTCGCCTCAATTTCTTTCGATGCACGTTCACAAGCCGTGAAAATTATGTAGAATGCTGGAAATATTCTCACTAATCAAGGTAATCCAATTTTATCATAAGCAAAGATGGTTGAAATCCTGCTTCGTGGGGAGAAGGGGGCTGAGCCACTTTTTCTTCTACCCTAGTCCTAGAAAGCACTCCTTTGAGCTTTTTGACCAGTTAGAAGATAATATGTGTAAACGACTTATTTGATTTACTCTTTTGGTAGGAACGGTGGATGCCCTACATGCCACACAGCCTGCTCGCTTTCTATCCAATTTCCTGCACCAAGTCATCCACCCTCGAGCTCTTCCATCCGTAGGCCGAGGCAAAGATTTCATTCCTTGGATCAGGACCGTTTTTGGACCATTGCAGGCCAAATTGTGGAAGCACCACAAGACCATTTACACACTACACCACTGCTTATTAGAAATATCCTCCAAATAAGTCAATTACGTGTCATGAGCGCTCTAATTCTTAACGTAGAACCCCCAGTAGAAGTCGTGTCATCACGAGTAGCACAGGTTTGACGTTGCTGCGGTTCCAATGTGCGCGATAATGGCACACTTGGTCTTACAAAGTAAACTTATGGCGACTACTCTCAACGTATGGACGAGTTACGTCGCGCACACCCATGACACGCAACGTGGATTACGGCGTAGCGGCTAATTCAAATACGCGCGGGTTAGTTGAGCCGTGGAGCAGGCAAGTTCGTACAACTCGTCCGGCCCCGCCCCTTCTTTGTCAAGGGGTAACTTGTTTGGGGCCGTCGACGTTTCTTTGCTTTTTTTTGATTGTAGTCAACTCAAGATCCACGACGCCGTTATCGGTCGCAGTGACCCCACAAATTTAGATCTGGTGCTGTTGCTTCAAGTATTGGAGAATGATTAAGTGGCACCCCTGGAGCTGGATTTTCATTGAAAAAAATTTCTCAACACTTCCATGCATGGATAGTCAGCAGCTTGGCTGCTACTTGATAGATGCCACAATAAAACCAGTCCAGAGAAACTGGTTAGGTTACGGTTCCGCATAGTAATGAAAAATCTTCAATATCTTATATCTTAGTTGTTTTATGACACGAGATTGTCTTCACTTATACAGTTTAAAAAAGCGCTGAGTATGAACCGACTTTAGACTGCGTCCTATTTCACCTGGGAGACTAACCATAAGAGATTAAATCATAGGAGGCAAGGCTTTTAAGGTAACATTAGAATCGTATTGCACGGGAAATTAGAAGACTAGGTGTTAACATCCAGATATGTAGATCAGTACTTGCCTAATATTTTCAGCGGAACATCCTCATCTCCTAATATTCTTACACTCGTCTCCTAGTCCTAAGCCTGCGTGGAGAAAATGTCGATGGGAATTCCATCTCACCCATAAGCTATATTCCTCCTATGCCCTTGCGAGGAACTTGTTTGGGAAAATTCGAAGTGCTTCTAGGATACTTCATCTCGACAGAGTGAGTTAGATATTGCACACTCAGCATCAATTGATTCCGTTCAGGATGCGCCATGCATTCGAACCCATTCGGAGTCATTGGAAAGGTGTTACCTTACACGACAGCTTACTGATGCAAAATCAATGAGTGTTGCTAGTCTTAGCTATCTGAAATATTTCTATAGCCCGGGCGCGCGCGGGCCCCGCCCACCATAGCATCCTTTCTTATTACGATTCTCACACCTACTTCGTTTCCTTTCCAAGCACACTCCGGGAATGAAGCAGTTCCCGCTGTAATGTGTGGTGATGAAAAAAGGATTTGGACGTCCTTGTGCCGAACTATTTATGGACAGTGGATGTGTGATACGGGTCTTTTCGTCCTCCCATCTTCTGAGATTTGTACAGAGATCGTGCTGCGTTCTGAGGAGAAAGCGGTCAGCGGTGGAAGGAGCGGGTGAGAGGCGTGTCGCGCGGATTGTCATGAATCCCCGGAGGCGTGTTCAAGCCTCTTGCCCTCGTGAAGCTGTTGCACCCTGCGCATTAATTTTCTATGACTCTTCCACAAATGCAAAGACTCGCAGCCAACGAGCCGAACGGCGAGTGCAGTATGTACGTAAAGGATGAAAAAGGGTAAGCAGATTGCCGTTGATCAATCCCTTTTTGGGATGCGGCACGCATTCTACTTCCATTTGTAGTGGCGTTTGAATGCGATGTGGCCTATACAATGACTTGCGGGGGCCAGCCGATGTACAAGTCAGTGTTTTTATCCTCCCAGACAAGTCTGGTACCAATTAACCGACCCCGGAGGGATGGAAGGCTTGGTTGGCCCGGGCGACTCACGACCCAGGATTTGATCCCCGGACCGCTCGCGTGGTAAGCGTGCCACTTGCCACTACACCACTTCCGCCCTATCCTAATGCACATATCCGAACTAATACAACACACTGGAATTTTTTAAGTACAAAGTAAACAGAGCTCAAGTGAATCTCATAAACGTTTGATTACACAAAAAAGAAGCGGTTCACATAATGAAGTTGAGTGGGCTGAACGCTCACTAAATTCTCTTGAAAAAAAAACCACGCGAAGGAGTTTGATGAAATGTTATGGTTACTTGCGAGCCATGTGGAGCGAGAAGGGAGCGTTCTCAACCAGGGCCAACCATCATGTTCGCTCTTTTCAAAAACTTTGGGACTTCCAAAAACTTCCACCATCATCAGCCTAAGAGGGCTCCCCTGATACGAGCCCCCTTCTCCTTCTCCAACCACCATCCTCATCCACCATCATGGTGCTTCTATACTTTTTCTGAAGTATTTGAAACAGCGAGAACCAGCCGACATAGCCCAACTCCGCCCACTCGCCCACTTTCTCCTCCAAAACAACGTCGAGCGGGGGATGGTATTATGAAGCGGCAAATTCACCATTTCTGCATAATTCTCGCTACTTTCATAAAACGTTCACCAATTTCACCAAATTCGTCAAAAATCTCATCACCCTTTTAACAACCTCCGCTCCCACCATGACAACCCTATGATAACCTTGCTCAACCCCAAAATGCGACCCCCTCGTTCGAATAGTGCGAACGGACGGTTGACCCTGTTCTCAACCTAATGGTTGATGTTTTCACTTTACTAACTTTAACTAACCCTAATTATTCAAACGAAATATCATTGGTATAAGTTTAGGCCTGTAATACTACATATGTAAAAACTTCGGATCCATAATTCAGATTGCCCATTGGTTTTTTTACTGTTCTTTGCCATCTTATTGCCCAGCAGTACACCTGCACGCGCCGAAAGATGACACTCGCTGCCAGTAACACTTGGGAATGCACCATGCATTCGACTTCCATTCAAAGTTGTTGGGTCGTTTGCATGCCTTTCCGCCTACACAACGACTTACGCGGCAGGGTAAGCGGCAGGGCAATGCGGCCACACTGGAGATGGGCATATTCGTCAATAGGTTATGATTTCCGACATACTACGCGGCATCCCCGACCGACCGCTGCGGTATCTTTCCGCCTTTCTTTTTGTGACTCTCTAGCTTGCATTTTTCCCGTGTCAACAGGATCTGGTACGCTATGTCCTGTGCTAACTGAAACTCACTTATTTTTGAAAAAGAATTCCTCATTAACCAAAAAGATGGGCTCTTCGACAGGACCGATAGAACAAAGCAGTGAACTCACATTGGGAAAATCCTACCAGAAAAATGGAGTAGATCAAGAAAAATCTGGTAAGATCCGTTGCGATAATGGTATAGACCATGAGTACAAAAGGACCGATAAATGGTACAGCCCTTAAACACAAAATCAATAGGAAAGTTGATAAACGATCATGGATAAACCACTAGGCGTTGATCAATCCCGTGCTTGGGATGCGGCACGCATTCTACTTCCATTTGTACATTCGTAGTGGCATTTGAATGCGATGTGGCCTATACAATGACTTGCGGGGGCCAGCCGATGTACAAGTCAGTGTTTTTTCCTCCCAGACAAACATCTGGTACCAATTAACCGACCCCGGAGGAATGGAAGCCTTTGGTGATCCTGGACGACGCACGATCCAGGATTTGATCCCTGGACCATGCGCCTGGTAAGCAGCGTCGGTCACTTGCCACTACACTACTTCCACTTACGAACAGTGAATCCTCAGTGAAATTCCACGCTATGTAATTTCGGAATTTTTTGTTTACCTGCAGTAGTAAAGGTAGTGAAGCGTCGTGAGAACAACGGCGATAGCAGCGATGAAGTTGTCGGCGGCCAGAAACGCGTCATGAAGGTGGCAAGAAAATCGAATAGGAATTTCGCACAGAACCAATATGAACGACACTTTGTAGAGGAGTTTGGCTGGAAACGCCCTCTGAAATAAAGATGGTCCTTTTACTATGATGAGCCTTTCATTAAAATAATTTGCTGAAAATAAAGACGATTCGGTGGACTGGAATTGCCGCTCGTTGATGGGTGGATTCCCATTCAAACAATGAAAACCATTATTTTTGGGACCTTTTGCCTTTGGGTTCTCTAACGCTAAAGATAAGAGCTTCTCCGTAGAAGGTTAATGTTGCGCCTAATTTGCTTTTCAAGGTAACGATTGACTTCATGAGTCGGAAAACAAATAAAAATAGTGTTAATATTGGTTGATATCGAGCCATCAGCAGGAAATGATTCAATTATGTCAGAAAATCTCTATGAATTCTTCCCGCGGAAAGATTACTGACCAGTACAGAAAACCATTTGGCTCTGCCGATTCGTCGGATATCACGGACGTCGAGAAGAATCTGAAAGATGACCAGCACGATGACGGTCACTTCACAAGCGAGTCGCAGCTGAAATTGTACTGTTTGTTTGTTTTTTCAGTCGAGTGCATAAATATGTAGATACAACATATGCACTAAATAAAATGCTCTCACCCAGCCTTCGTCCCAATTCCATCGCCAATATTGTAGCAAATGGCATTTGGCATCTTCCTCATCTGAATGCATAAAACTCAACTCTCCTTCTCACTAAACTTCAGGCTATTTGCTGATAGCCGAGAATTTGAAATTAGTTAGCTAAAATCCTCAATGAGAAAATTTCGCGACAGCAAGACACGGGAACTGGAGCTCACCAGGAAGGTCTTTCAGGGCGTGACGAAGCTTTTTGAAAACGGTCTTTTGCATGATATAGGGGCAGATGCGGGACCACAGAACCATGTTTAATTTTTCCTGAACGGCCCTCTGAATACCAGAAAAGGGGGTCCCTAGTTCGATTCCTCTTGGTGACAAATTTTTGCATTTCGAGTTGACGTTCCAAAATTCGCGCAAAATGGAGTTCTGATTGTTCTGGTTGGTTCTAACTCCATTTTGCGCGAATTTTGGCACGTCAACTCGAAATGCAAAAATTTGTTACCACGAGGAATCGAACTAGGGACCTCCTTTTCTGGTATTCAGAGGGCCGTTCAGGAAAAATTGAACATGGTTCTGTGGTTCCCGCATCTGCCCCTATATCATGCAAAAGACCGTTTTCAAAAAGCTTGTCACGCCCTGAAAGACCTTCCTGGTAGTCATAACATGGCAAGTGCTAAATATCCCTCTAGTGAGGAAAGCAAACGAACCATCAGCCTACCAAATATAAGGTCATTCCTTTCGCAGTTGTTTTAGTGCATTGTAAAAGCTTACGCTAAATTGAGGACGCCATGACGCCATTCCTATCATATGTGGACTATTGCTTATAACAAACCATCCATGGTCCTTATGAAGCGAGGATCACGATAAGGTCTGAATGCGGCTTGGAAGTACACGCACCTGTGCAAGTAGTAAATAGAGGCCAAACAAAGCAAGATGTGGTCGTTTAGCGGCTAAAAATGCGCTAATTGCAGCGCAGTTGGCTTGCAAGTCCTTTCTGTGCTTCTCCCAGTCCAAGTACTGCTAGTAGCGCACTGTTCGTGTCTCATTGTGAAGGGGTATTTCATTTTGGGGCGGAAGTGGTGTAGTGGCAAGTGGCACGCTTACCACGCGAGCGGTCCGGGATCAAATCCTGGGTCGTGAGTCGCCCGGGCCAACCAAGCCTTCCATCCCTCCGGGGTCGGTTAATTGGTACCAGACTTGTCTGGGAGGATAAAAACACTGACTTGTACATCGGCTGGCCCCCGCAAGTCATTGTATAGGCCACATCGCATTCAAACGCCACTACGAATGTACAAATGGAAGTAGAATGCGTGCCGCATCCCAAAAAGGGATTGATCAACGGCAAATGCTTTATCCTTTATTCCTTTATTTCGAGCTGCCGTATCCTCTAACTTTGTGGAATACGTTATCAATCAAAGCGTGGTGCTTGTTGGCAGGACGGTGACTGTCGGTTTACACGTGCAAACTACCCCTTACAGTTGAATGCTTGCTGGCTCGTCGTTCGGAGGCGAACGGACAAAGAAGGGGTCCCATTTTGCGTGTTCTTGCCAACTTTTTTTTTTGATTTCCAGACCGCCATCGCCTTATTCAGCATTCCAACTTCTAATGTACAGGGGTGGCCAAAAAAAAAAGAGACACTTTGCCCATGGCGCACATCATCGAACTTTTCGTCGCACAGGGTGCCGATGTTAATGAAAGTTTTACGGCGAATATTCCTTAGGTGTTCCCCCGTAAACAGAAGCAGGCCCTCCTTCACTGCCCCCGCCGTCTTCAGAATATGACGTCATCTGCCGCCACCGTCGAGCTCAACGAGGCTTACCGTAATCGCTCCGGCCTGAAGCTGCTACATAATTTCTTCAATGGATTAACTGTTGAATAGCTTCCCAGAGACATTAGCTGTGACTATGCAAAACCGCTTTTGACCAGCGTTTCAGGGACGTCGTAATGGTCTATGGTACCTCGACGACCTCGTTGAGCTCGTACCGTGAACCATGTTTCCGTGGAAAATCTTCTGATGTCGTCGGTGTAGAAGGCTGTCATGTTTTAGATAGATTAGAATGTGCTCTTCAATACTAAGTTGGGGCAGTCGATTTGATTTAGCAAAGTGTGATTAATGCTGTCTGAAATGTGGAGTGAAGTGTCTTTTTTTGGCCACCCCTGTATGTCCAATCCGATCTTATTGTAATCATTCGCTTCAGAAGCCACGACACCAGAAGAGGTCGTAGTATCACAGACGTCCCGTTTTTGCGTCTCGAAAGTGTGTGGCAAAGGCGCTAGGGTCTTACAAAGAAGTCAGCACATGGCGACTAATCTTAGCATTTGGACGAGTTACGTAGCGCACATCCCATGATGCGCAGCGTGGATTGCGATGTAGCGGCTAATTCAAATATGCGAGGTTAGTTAAGCCGTAGAGCAAGCAAGCAGAAAACTCGTCCGCCCCCGCCCCTTTCTTATTTCAAGGAGCAATGGAGCAGTCAGTTCGGCGTCCAAAATTTAATTGTCGACCACTGCTACCTATCTAATTCGATCTGGAGTTATGGTTCAGAGAGAGGGCAGTGAAGAGAGATGTTTGCCCACGATCAGTGGGATCCGAGTTGTCGCTATCTCGGCTGATCACCTCATTACGCTGGTCCCAACTCCAACCAGGGTCAACCGGCACATTAACATTTTTCAAAAAATTTTGCGACCCCTTTCGACCGGCTGCGACCCGACCCACAACAACCATCAGTTCTAGAAGGCCCCCAGTACGATCCCACTCACCCCTTCCTCGACCACCACCTACACCACCATTATGTCAGTCGACACACCCAACCTCCGCCCACTTTCTCCTCCAAAACGGCCCGGGGAATTTAAATTGATAGCTGAGATGTAGCGGGAAATCGACCAATTTCACCTGAATCTCACTACTTTCATGAAGTTCACCAGATTCTTCAGAAAACCCGTCCAAACAACCCCTTTACGAGCACGTTAACCTCCGTTTCCACTATGAATCTTGCACAACCCCAAAATGCGACTCCCTCCCTTCCCCAAGTCACAAATGGGACCAACTCGTTCGAGTGGTGCCAACGGACGGTTGACCCTGGCCCCAACCTCGCCGCAACGTGTGCTCGTGCCTCTCTGAGCGCTTCAATGTCATATACAAGATTCGCGTCCTCGAAGAAACCCAGACTGCTACCTTTTTCAGAAATGATGAGGTAACTTGAAAAGCATCCACTGTTCACTAGTCCTTTTTGGGATGCGCCACGCACTCTAAGTCTACTCCGAGTCTTAATAGCATCGCAATTTGATGCATGATTACTTGCAAGGATAAGCAGATGTGTAACATAAGTCACGGTTTTCACCCTCTTACAAGGGAGGTCTTTCAGGGCAAGGTGCGCTTTTTGGAAACGGTTTTGTGCATATTGTAGGGACGCATGTAGGGAACGCAAAACCATGTTTCATTTTCGCTGAACGGTTTAGCAGTACCAAAAAAAGCATAAGGTACTGTTAATGGTTCGATCCCCCGTGGCGACTAAATTTTGCATTTGGGTTGGCGCCTACGGTTTGGTGCCAAATCGCGCTAAATATCAAAATCAGATGTCAAATTCATCGTCAGGACCATTTTGAAGCCAACAAGTGGTGCAAAATTTAGTCGCCGCGGGGACCATCAAGAGTATTATTCACCACTTTTTTGGTACTACTAAAACCGTTCAGCGAAAACGAAACATGGTTTTGTGGTCCATACATGCGTCCCTACAACATGTACTAAACCGTTTCCAAAAAGCGCACCTTGCCCTGAAAGACCTCCCTTGTTAGAAAATCACGCTTCAACCAGCCAGTCTGAAACGGGAGGAGGGTTTGGTTGCCCTGGGCAAGATTTGGTCCGCGATTTGACGTTGGTGGTGCTTTAGCGCATCTGCCTACTTCTTCAAAGGCTATTATCGTGTGGTGCAAAAAGTATTTCTATAAACGCCCCCGAGCAGCAGGTCATCTTTGAAAGCATTCAAGCATATCCTGCCATACTGAAGAGCGGTTGCTGCAATTGTCTGAGCCACTGCGCTATCGCAGTTTTTGAAACAAATATCGTTATAAAATACCAAAGTAAAAGCAAATGTAAAAGATAATCTACAAGTTACTTTTTTGCGTCCATTTGAAACGCCCATCGGTGTTGTTTACAAGTGAGCCATCTGCGCGAATCAGCCCGCCAGTGATTTGCTGAAACATTTGAAAATTTTTCGCTTCTGCATAGGGCAGATTTCGTAATCGGTCCTTCGCCCAATGAAGCTTACTAGCTGAACTTAAGCGAATCCTTCACCGTTTTTGTTGGTAAACCGTTAATTTCAGTCCATGTAGCATTGAAGGGCACACCAGTGGTGAGGTGATACTCCATCGGCTTCCCCCCTGCCCATAAGATTATCGCGAAGTAGGCGTTCATAGACGATGTAATGTACAAAACGTGTTCTTATCAAGAAAAGAAAGGCGCAAGTTGTCAAAATTGCAACAGGTATCAACTGAGACACGCATAGTGAGAGTACAACCAGAAGGTAAAAGCCGAAGCTAGGCTAGTGAAGTCTTCTTGGTATCACAGTCAGTGACCTTGGTGTGGTACTGTACTCGGTGCCCAAGGCACAAATGAAATTGGAAACGCCTGAGACCGATCGGTTTGCCTAAAAGTCAGCCACTTTGCAAAATTAGACAATGCACCTTTTTAACAATAGTGCATTGAAGAACCTTATATTCAACATAAAGGAATACGACTTGTGAAAAAGTGCGCCCAATATGTTGATCTCAAGAATCTGAAGGCCACTATCAGAGTATGGTTCGAGTTTACTACTGAGTTTACTGAATTAGATTACTGAATTTACTGAATTTGATTTGACTACTATCACCTTTCTCAGAAGGAAATTCGTGGAAAAGAAACGTTTTGACACATGGATTTTGGAACATCCAGTGATTAATTCAAATGGCGCTAGTAGACGGCCGATCCTGTAATATTGAAGGAATTTAGTACCTCAGTTGTAGCTGAGAATGGCCGCAGCATGTATGCAGCTGTGAAGATGATATAGTAGAACGTGAACGCAACCAGTGAACGGAACCAACTGAAAATATTACTTCTCTAGAGATTGAGCCTAAATTGTAAAAAATTGAGAAATGAGAAATGCTCACTGCTGCTTTCCAAAAGCTTTCCATTTTTCATCGAGGATTTTATCGAGAATTCCATCCAATAGTTCCAAATGCTCCGAAGTCTTCTGAAACGGACACTCCTCGATAAGTCCTATTTCACTGTACCCTCACCTCCCAATAGTCTATGTAAGACACAGTTACCCAATCTTCATAGTCACTGTTGACTCGCTCTGAACGATACATTCGTGGAACACACGATTTTGAACCTTAAAGGTTTCGCGCACGGTAAAGCACTATATTCACTCACACCTGAAGTTTATGCCTTAGCCTACTTGTAGATAGCAAAAAGAGCGGAACATAGACGTGCGATTTGATAGTAATCCAAGTAACTAGGTGGAGGATTATAATTTCGAATTGTGGAGGATTATAATTTCGAATTCCAACCGTTAAACTGTCACAACTGCTGGCGGTGAAGAACCATCAAGTGCAAGCGTGTTAGGAGCATGAACATAAACGGCTTTCACGTTGGTCTCGTGGCCCATGCACTTTGTCAAAACAGTACTTTAGGTCCCGCCCATTTTAGCAGGTAGTGCCCAGCGGTTTTTCACGACGTTGGTTCTCTTCAAATATCCCTATATCCCTTCCGTCACAAACTTCGCATGTGATTTTCATGACCACGCACAACACATTCGTACAAGGAATTAATGAAGTTTTTCCATGGACGATTTCTTTAAATCTTGAAATTAGTTTCAAGCGTTTTGAAAAAAAAAGCGGAAGTCGGTATGGTACTGGGAAGCATGGTAGGTATGGCACAGGAATGTAGAAGAGATTGAAAAAAACACAAATCTTACATAGAACTGCAAAAAGGGAATTCTGTAAGGAAAAATCTTGAGGTCGGCGAAGCCTTTTGGTAAGACAACATTCGCGAGAGGCTTCTCCTTTCGCGCAACCAAAAATGGATCTTTTGTGCAGGAGCTCGTGAGCACACTGCGCATAAAAATGAGGGTGTCTTTCCAAATTCTGAGTACTTACCCCGTAGACAACGAGTGAAAGAGCTGACTGCTCGTTCATCTCGCCAGACACTTCGTTGATTGTGTCGATCTTTGTCAGTGGGTACGAAAAGCAATTCGCCTCTCCGTAAACCCATACACTTTCGCCTTCCAATTCAAGAATGATGTTGAAAAGCTGAAAGTACAACTACGACAGAGGCCCATTTCCAGAGATTCGCTACCAAGAACCTTCTTTTTCGCGAGCTTTGCTGCCAAAGTTAGGGGTGTCAAACTTTGTTTATTGGCAATGTTCAATCGGGCGCCAGCCTCCAAAGCCATCTTCATCATTTCCTGAAATGGTTACTGTGATTACATGACAAAAATATTCCATTTTTTATAATACAATTCGCTAACTATTTTTTCATGGATCACGCAAAGATGAAGTGCTGTGTTTCCGTTTGTGTCCTGAGCGTTCAGGTTGGCCTTCATTGCCACGAGTAGTCGAACCAGATCGGGTTGATTCATACACACGGCAAAGGAGAGCGGATATTCGCCGAAATACATAGTACTGAAAATCGCCATTAATTATTCAAAATCATTATCTAGGTCTCACTGCAAGCTAGCTATTTTTTTTCTACAAAAAAGTACGCATGGCTTCATGAGTCCGTCTTACACAGTGTTATGGACCGGGGCATGTGACACAAATACACGGCGTATTCTGCGCGTAACAAAATTTGCGAATAGTGGAGAATTCTCAGGCCATGCTACATAAGTTCCTACTTGTCTGCGCTTTCGCAGCTACAGTAGCGCTCTGTAACCAAACAAACGCAAGGTCTGGGATTTCGGGTACATATTAAGCCTTGCCCCGAGAAAAAAGCAGCGATACGCAAGCGCGGAGCATGTACACAAGTGTAGAGTGGACTTGACAAGGTCAAATCGCTAAGACCCTAGGATGCAGCATTGAACCCGCCAACACCAATGACTCCACCTACCAATCAGTGCTATTTAGCTTAGCTGCTGCTAGGGAGGGAGACTTGTTTTTCGTTCTTGTTCCCGTTTTTTTTTTCGTTTTTTTACTACTGACCTTACACCTCACATCTCCACTATTACTTGCTAGCGAAATAACAATCAGTGGATTGGCTTTTTGCATTCCTTTGCGCTTTTGTGAAAAAAAATATCAGATATCAGAAAGAGAAAACAAGACATTTGCTCACCCAGTATAGTTGGTGTTCATTGTCAGGTCGACATATTCGTGTTCCAAGCTGTCCGTTCGGCTGCTCTTCTGGTCATCTGCACAGAAAAACGCCCCATAGCACCTAGATATCAGACAAATTAGCCCATACAATGCTAAATACACATTCCGCTACTCTTACTACTTACTCGCGCTCTTAAATACTCAAAATAAAGCCAATCAACCTTTGGTTTACGTCGGCTCCTCTCTGTAATAGTTTGCTAACCATCTGCACGTCGTGATTGATAATTGCCAAGTGAAGAGGCGAAAGTCCTGAAATTGAAACAGTTGCCGACGCCTTCACTTCTACGATATTCTTGCTGACTGACCGTAATAATCCTCTGATGTGCAGATGTCGTTAAGCAACTTCGGGTAAAAGTCTAGTATTCGGAGAGCGAGCATATTATGAATTATTGTTCCTTGTAGAAGGCATACACCCACGATGGTCTCTCCCATAGATCCCTGAAAAACTACTTCCATAATTTGAACTTGTTAAAGCCTCAAACGAGAATGCAACGGTATGGTGTAAGAAAGGGAATTTTACCTAGTGGGAAAAGAGGCGCGCCTCCAAAGGGGGTATGGACACGCCGGTTTTGGGGAAGAATGTGCCCCGGGCCACCTAGCATGCCCCGCGCGGCGCTATCGGCGCGACACTCCCATCGAC